CTACACTTCCGGATAGAAGCAAGTCAAAGAGGTGATTTCCCTGCTGTATTGAGCAATGGTGCGGCCTCAGCTTGAGCACTGTGTGAGGTTCTGGGCTCCACAAGTTAAAAAGGATGTGAAGGTCCTTGAATGTGTCCAGAGGAGGCCAACAAAGCTGGTGAAAGGAATGGAAGGAATGTCCTCTGAGGAGCAGTTGAGGACTCTGGGTTTGTCTAATTTGGAGAAAAGAAGGCTGAGGGGTGACCTCATTGCTCTCTACAGCTTTCTGAGGAGGGACCGTGGAGAGGAGATGCTGAGCTCTTTTCCCTGGTATCCAGTATAGGACACATGGGAATGGTCCAAAGCTGCACCCAGGGAGAATTAGACTGGACATTGGGAAGCATTTTTCTACCAAAGGGTAGTCAAACACTGGAACAGGCTTCCTAGAGAGGTGGTCGATGGCCTAAGCCTCAGTGTTTAAGAGGCAGTTGGAGAATGCCTGCTTTAACTTCTAGCCCAGTGGTCAGGCAGTTGGACTAGATGATAATTGTAGGACCCTCCCAACTGAGTTTTCTACCCTGTCCCATTCTATCCTATTCTCCTTTCCTCATCCAAGACACTCAGCATGGTACTACCACCAGAGATGTCAATATACTCTTTTGTCTTTCCATGGAGCTCTTAAGGCCCAGTACCTATTACTGTGATGCTGAGCGGCAAGAACAAGCAAGCTCTGTGCTCTTACACTCCTAAACATTTGGCTTAATCTCCACCTCTGACTTTGTCTTCACTTCTGTTTTCTTAATCCCTTCATTTCCCTGGATTCTGCTTGCTGCTTGAAGACTTCTTTTCTCTCCCCAGCTTCATATTTTCTATTTGCAAAGGCAGCTTTGGAGGAACTCTCACAAATGTTTTCTTGCCAGAACAATGTCCTTCCCAAAGATCTACAACAGCATCTCCAAGAAATATTTTTTACTCCTTCTAACATTTTTTTACTCTTTTTGACCAATTGATAATGAAGCTCTCTGGAAGTTCTTCTCTGGAAAAGATGAGTAATAAAGCGAAAGTAATGCAGGGCATTAAGGTCAGGAATGAAGAATTGCAGGCAGATAAAATTCTGTGCAAACAAATGTAGCGTGGTGCAAACGGGAGAAGCAATTCCAAGTTCAAATGATAAAATGGTGGGCTTTAACCAGACATTACCCTGTCAGGAATGAGATTTTGGGCTTGTCATGAGTAGTCAAGCCCATGAAAATATCGCCTCTCTCCTTGGCAGCATTGAAAAAAGCAAATCAAATTTTAGCAGTTACTAGTAAAGCCATAGAGAAAAAAGCAGAAGACAACATTACATCACTCTACAAATCTACCTTGGATTCTACATATGGTTCTAGTACCCTCAAAATCATGTGTTAGATCCAGGAAGGGTTCCAGGAAGGGTAAAAAGAATGGTGGAAAGTATGGAAGAGCTTCCACAGGAGGATTAGATATGTAGTCCAAGATGAGTCAGCCTGGAAAAGAGATAACCTAAGGGGCGCATGAACAAGTCTACAAAATCTTGAGTAGCACAGGAAATTTGTAGAGGAATTAGTTGTTCCATATCCGCCCAACACAAAATCAGAGAAGGACTCTAGTGCTTGCAGACCTGTTGGACTCAGTAGTACATTAGAGTAGGATGCTACCTTGCATAAGCATCCTCATCCATCACATCACCACTACATTACAGTGGCAAGAAGCAGACCCCCAATAGATTAGGCTCCAGCAAAGCCAGGATGCCTGGTTTCTTCCACCAGCATGTAGCCAACTGATGCTGCTGGAGCCAGCTTAGTGGCAGATTCAAGCAGCATGAAGCTCAGAGAACTGTTCTGGGTTTATTCTGAATCAAAGTGATGCTGCAATGCTGCTCCTGTACCTTCACATGCTTCAGTGCAGCATAAACAGCAACCAGAGGGGACAGACACAATTCAGCAGTGTTCTATTGCCAACATCATAAGGCAGGTTAACCAGCAATCAGTAAAATATCTGATTTTCTATATTCTACCAGATATGGTTCATACAATGCCAAGCACACACAGCCCCAGCCGTTCTGTGAACAGAAGTAATGAAACTCGATATGTCCAATATCCTTGAGACTTTTTCCCTGCAATGATCTCAGTTTCTCCTTTGCCTCTTTAACTCAAGCAGTGGCTGTGAGCTGATGCCCAGTTTATGCCAGTGCAGGGAGCAGTTGAATCCCACTTGGGGCACAAATTTGGGTGTTTATCCAGCTACCAATTTCCCAGAAGCTTGTCAAAACAGAATTGGTCAATATGTTGCAGGTGACTAGGGAAGGAAGGGGATGAACACAGCATCATGCCAGTTTTCGTTTCTTTAGCAAGACTGGGCTAAATGCAGCATAGTGCATTGAAAAAGGCCACCCAAAATCCGAGCACGCTGGGAAGAACCAGAAAAATGTGCTTTGCTTTCTGCTTTTGTACTGCTATCTAGTGGCTTCTTGCAGCTAGAAAAAGAAAGGCAGAGAGGTCTGAAAAAAAATTGGTTCGCAACCGTTAGCCTTATCGTGCTCAATGTGCTGCCAGTTTCTGTGCAGCTGGATAATCTCTTACTGGGTGAACGGGCTCCAAGTGCCACTTGCATTTCTCTGGGGCTCATTTTGAAATGCCTGTTCTAAGACCCACTGACATGAGTGGAAGTAATGAAAAAGCACAGGAAGCTTCTGCCTGCATGTATTTGTATGTATTATACTGCATATCCAAGGCAAAGCTCTTGCTCCACACAACCTTTGCAAAGTCTGTTTGCCAAGGAACTGCACAGCAGAAAGAAAATTTTGATCAAGATTTTGGTTATTGGATATCCTAGGACTTTATTTTACATGGAAAACTCAGTGATATAAGAATTAGTCTGAATTAATCTATAATACTAAGAAAAAAATATCCTTATGGACAAGCAGTTGTCATGATTAGCAGTCTTGAGGACAGCCCTCAAACTCTTTAGGACCACAAGCGGTTGGAATTAGATAATTTTTGAAACTCCACGCTTGCCTAGCTCTGATTCCAGTAGAGATTGATTTGGTAAGTTACAGAAAGCAGAAATTGCTGAAGATGTTTTCTGAGATGTGGTTCAGAGATTGGCTCAGACCAGACTTCCTTCAGCTCTGGTCATAGGCTGGTGCCCACCACAGTGACATGCTCAGCCAGGCAGAAGGAGAACAACGTCTGCAGTAGGGTCAGTAATTTTAGTTTAGTAATTGTTATGAATAGTCAAATACAAAAATAGAGTCTGACACAAGCAGATCCTTTCTAGTTTCGGTACCTTCTTACACAAAGCAACACATAACATGAAGACAGAAAACAGCAGAGCTGGTTTCTTCCACTGCCTTTCCTGGCCCAGGGATCAGTAATCACCTAATATCTGTGCTCTATAGTCAACCACGAATTCACCTGCACATTTTCAGCCTTTTAGGTCTGCTGCAACACAGCCCCAAGTCAATACACAGCACAAGTGAAAATACAAAGCACACCAGGCTCATCTATCCCAACTTACTTTCCATTTCTTCATTCCTCAACAGGATGAGGAGCCTTTCCCTCCTTTGTGAGCCTTTGCAAGCATGCTCATCTCCAGTACCCCACCTTAGCCAGGCTCTCCAGGACTCCTAGGGCAAAACACTCCTCTTCCCAGCCAGCTCAAGCCCTCCCATCTCCACCAGCTGGGGCAAGGATGGGTAACTGCTCCACTGACCCCAGCTCCCCTTAAAGCACAACCAGACCATGGCCCCAAGTGTCTCAGCTGTTAACACAAATAAACACTGGTTTTATTATTGCTCCTTTACACCTCATCGGATAATACAGCTTTATTCTTCACATGACTCCCTTGAAAATGATGAACTCAATGATGGAAAGTTTGCAGCAAATCTGCAAGTCTTCCCCATGGCAGCAACATCTACTTCAGGTATTCCACGCTGCTGCTTGGGATGAGCTTCAGGGAAAAATTTGTATTGATCAATATGTGGTAGGAGTTGGTCTCTGTCCTGCCTGCACTACTTTTCTGCTCTTTCAGGAGGTCCCCAGCCTCTGTCTAAAAATATGTTTTTAAAAACAATCCAGGAAAATTATTCTTCCACTTAAAGCTGATTTGGGTGTATTGTGTCTAGTGCTCAACAATGCATAAAGTGTTGATTCATCCTGATGGGGCTGCCTCCGTTTATTTTTTAGATAAACAAAAGTTTAGTGTTGCAGAGAACAAAAGCAAAGAGCCAGGTCTAACTGAGGAACAATGGAGAAAGGCGATAGCCCACAGGTACTCCCCATTTATGAGCTAAAAGCCATCAAACAAATTCAGCATAAGACATTAGAGTTGTTTGGTATCTAGAGGGGTGTAAGAGCAGGGCGAACTTTCAGTCAATATTTTGTGCAGTGTCCATAACTTCTCCACAAGCTAAGAAAAGTGAGAATTTAGTTGACTTTACAAAGTACTTATATTTTATTTAGTTGCTTTAGAGACCTAGAAGTAAGACGTTGCACCCTGAGGATTTCTCAGGGGTTAGGCAGGCCCAAGGAAAAAGCCAGAGAAAAAAAGTGATGTATTTGGCAGAGGAAAAGACACTTAGTCATCATTCTCTGAAAACAAGCTGTGAATATTCTGCACATTGAAGTACTAATCCTGTAGGCTCCAAGGACATCCCATGAGGAGGTGAGCATCAATAGCTCCTCCAGATTTAACTACAGGTGGACAGGAATTAGTACATTGCATTACTGAGCTGTTACCAGGACTAAGCATATCTGACTAATGAAAATTCAACTAAATGTATATTGAAATACTAATATTACCAAGTTTTTCCATGTGTCATCTTTCTCATGGCAGCTATGAGATTGCTTCTGCCCTCTGATGGCATGGACTCTTTTGTAGCTGGCAGATAGAACAGACAGTGGAGACAAACTTTTAAAACACACACACGCTTTTCCTTCTGTAATTGAGTGTCCATTCTGGCACCTCCTCTTTTTTCCAAAAAGGAAGAAAGAATTGGAAGTAGATAATAAATATAAGAGTAACTTTATTTAGGGTTTATTTAGTGGATTCTGGAAATTTCCATTCAAGCCAGTAGAGTTTCTGCTTCTGGAACAGGCTGGTAAAGTTTTTAATTAGAAGTGTAGCTTTTATTTGTTTTATTAGAATTATGTAAATAATGCTTCAGTAGTCCAGTCACGTTTAGCCACTGAGCAGAGGGAGCAGCTAACATTTTGCAAACTATTTAATGTCCCAGGGATGACAAAAGCAAGCATGCATACAGTCCTTAGTGTATTATATAAACATTTTCCTCTGCATGGATCTCATCTTCCAGGGCACTATGGTTCCCTGCACGTTTTGGCCTCAAATAGGTAATGAAGCTGCACAAAAGAGTAAAAACCATGCTGTTAAACAAAAAACAGACAATAGAAACACAGAAGAGCAGATAGCTAAACCAACCAGCTCACCGGAAATACATAAAATATGTAAAATCACTTATTTAAACAGAACTGATAATGAATCATTTTCCACTTATGAGACAGCTCACACTTGAATTCTGAATGCTCCCAAATGCAATGAACTGATACTCATTTTTGCTTACTAACTAATAATAAGTAGCAGGATTTATTAATCTATTTTTGCAATGTTTCCCATTAACTTGAGATTAAAAAAAGAAAGTCAAAGTCTGTGGTGGAATGGTCAGCATACTGACAACATTTTCTTTCTGCAACCTAGTTTGTCTTATCAGCTGAAGTAGAAACAGAATACTTACTTTGCAAAGTCACCCGTCTTCTTTGTATATAAATATTCTAAGGACCATCCAGAATGAAAAAATCAAGAGATAAAAAGAAAGAAAACAAATCATTTTGTTTAAACCATCAGAAGCAAGCAAAGTAGCAGGTTAAAAAAAAAAAATATTCAAGTGTAAGAAACTAAATAAGGGAACTTTAAACAGATGTTTTCAGAATAGGAAATCCCCATTATTTCCATGAGATCTAATTCATATGGCTTGGTCTGATCAAAAGTCTCTGTGCAGAAAGTCTGGCACATAGAAAAACATTGGATATAGTTAAGAAACCAGTGTCTCTCCTGTTATCATTGGGAAGGACTGGGACAACACAGCAACTGAGGAAGGGGTAGGAGAAAACAAGAGGGGCAGGGGAGGTGGACTCGTATCACACATCTCCTCACCAAACCATGGGTCGACTGATTGCTAAGGAGTCTGAGAGATAAAATGATGAGACCACATTGGCACCTTGCCATTCTATGCCCCAGAGCCTAAAGGGGGGATCTGGGCAAGCAACCACAGTGCAGGGCACAGAGCGAGGCCATCCAGAGACCTTGGCTCACTTCCCTGAAGCAGAAGACATGTGACATCTGCCACAGCTGTGATGTACTGGACCTATCTGTGAATAACCACTGTGAAAAGTACTTACGTTTAGTAAGGAACAGAGCAAAAATAAGGATGGCCAGAAGTACTGCACATAAACCAATCCCAATGTATAGCCCATGTTCTGAATACTGCTGACTGGAAAGTGAGAGAGTCACGTTCTGTCAAACACAAAACAGATGAGCATTAGTGACAGTGGGAGCAAGAAGCCCATACAGTACCCAAAGGCCATTTGTGTGTTTTGTAACCCTGTAGTAAAAGTATACTTAAGAGCAAGAGCTTAATTTGAGATACAGGACTAGTTTCAAGCAGAATCACTGCAACAGTTGTGTGAATCATCCTGCAAACAGATTATTTCTTGAGATAGTCGAAGGACCTGAAGTTGACAAATCCCACATGTTCAGGTTTAATACTATTTGGTGAATATTCTATTTAGTTCTTATTATGAAAATATCTCCAGGTGTTACACACATTCCCTTTTTCTTAGCTTATTCAGTACTTATTCAAGGCTTTATACTTAGAAGTAAACAGGCCTTCTCCTTGCAATGGTCATTATTTAGGCAAAATTTCTTTCTGAAGCCAGCAGTTAGATATCTAACCTCTCATGAGGAACTCAGGGCTGGGAAGATGCTGAAGCACAGTATGGTCCCTGACTTAACATTCTGCAAATGCAGTTGTATGAACATCCACAGCACATACTGCAAGGCAGTACATCACAGCAGGCCTTCCCAAAGGCTAGCTTGGCTGTCTTCTCTTCCTGACAAAATCCAGGTGCTGCTACTGCCCGTCGCCCTGCAATATGTGCTGGAGGGCTCAGCAGGACAGACACAGAGCTGCCTGTTTGAAGCCCACCGCACGGTGCAGGTGCATTGCTACCCTGTTGGGTGGTCCAATTTCTGCTCTTCCCCACACCCTGCCATACCTGCAGGTCTGAGGTTACATCCAAGCGGTCTGAGGCGCCTAAGCAGGGACCAGACGCCTGAAAGCCGATACAGATGTTACGAAATCTCTTCCTACATTAGTAGGAAGTACTTTCTGCATGCAAAGCAGGGCTTTTTCCCCTTTAATAATGAGCACATAAGCATTCTTTCATACACACTAAATGTGCAGACAAGAGAAAACAAATTTTTTGCAATCAAACTAAAACAGTAGGGATGACCCAATAACCTCTTATATCTGCCCACTTTGTCTAGATACGCTATAGCACAACAGAGATGCTTACGGTCTGAAGAGCTTCCGAAGCAGAAGCCGGTGGCCATGTTCTTGCGATGGTAAAGGATGATTCGCTGGTGCTCCCAGCAGCTAAGCAAAAGCAAGACAAACACATCACTTGGACAGAGAACCATTTTGCCTTGACAGAGAGAAGTTTGTACTGCTGACTTGAGACCACCGAACTTAAGTATCTCTCTATCAGGAGTCTTGGCTCTGCTTATCATAAAGAAGTTGGTGCCTTCAGAGGGCAGCACAAAACTCTGAATATTGGAGCCCCTGCTGCCCTTTTTAGAGCTTTGAATTCATTCCAGGAAACATTTAGCTCTCACTGTTATCTCAACACAGAGCCTAGAAAGAAGGAGTTACCAAAGTAGACACCTGTTTTTGGAGCGAAGAGGCAGTGGATGTCTAAAGCAAACTTAGGTCATCTGATGAAAACTGACTAAGGTTAGCTCAGGGCCTAAAAAGAGCAAGTGGTGCAGAGTTAGAGAAAGCAAGTGTCCCAGACAGAAATACCATAAACAGACTGACCAAAGTGTGATATGTTTGCATAAGGACTTGCAGCATATTTTAAGGTAATTTCCCAGAGCAAAGCTGTTTGCAGTATTTAAAATTCAGAGCTACAAACTTATGTCTTCCATAGCATCAGTCTCAGTTTCTCCATGTGTTGTCAGATGATATACAGCCCGCCTGAAAACAAAGTCTCCTGTTCACGTTATGACAATCCCAGCTGGTTCCTTTGATGTTTTAAACTGTTACCCTTATCTCAGAAGCTTTATTCTGAAGAGGATAGGATCATCTGCTCTACTGTTCTCTTCCATAGGAGATGCTGGAGAGTTTCTACATCAGAGGCACTTGGCCATCTGCCTTTTCCAGTCTCCCTCTGTGTGAATGTGCACATACTAACTTCTATTCTGAAAACATAAAAAATTTTTCCACCAGCAGCTAAGGAAGATGTCACAGGGTTAACAAAACCCGTGAGTTCTAAGATTGGAAGCTGTGTTATTTGCAACTAGAATAGAAACAGTTTGAGAAAATTTTCACTTCTTCTTCCAAAAAGGAAATGCAACTGCTATAACATTTTAGAGTTGCTTAGCTGGAAACATCTGAGACGGAGGGAGAAATACAAATGGAATCCCTGATTTTTATTTCAAAATCCAGAGAATAAGCTATCATTACACTACGAGCTCTCTCTTGTGTACAGGGAAACTAAAATTGTCTTTTTCAGTCTGAAAAAAGTGCAGCTGAGTGGGTACACAATAGAAGTCTAAAAACTTGAGTAGAATGGAGAAACAGTGAGGAATAGTCATTCACTGTCTCTTCCACTACAATGGGGGGCCTCGCATGAAATATGCATATGCCACAGTGGATGTGGGCAGCCTCAGAGACACAAGTTATGGCAGGGTAGAAGAATACTTTGGTTCTGTATCACAAAATTACTGCCCTGTTTCTATGATCCTCTTAATCATCTGCTCTTGACTGCTACTGGAGATAGGATCCTGAATTAGATGCACTTTTGAGCTAGCCCAGTAAAACTGTTCTATGTCATATTACGTTGAGCAACAAATAAATGGATTTAATAATGAGCACACTCGTCTCCTAAAAATTTGTGTTACTGTTCACAGGATGTATTTCCAGAAGACAAGGTGATATTTTATACCACAAAGAAAACAACACACTCAAACAACTGCCACAAGGAGAACAATGCTTGCAGCATCAATAAAACATCTACCTAAGCGTAACACCTGAGAGCTAAGTTCCTCCCATGTATATATGTTCCTTCTGTTGGGCTCTCCATATGCTCTCAGGCAGAATTTAAATCCAAGTTCTGATTTCTGGTTCTACAGTAATGTTTAATATATTTTATCAAGACATTTCTATTATATATCGGTTTGTTTCCTTCCCAAGATCCTCATTTGCAATTTAGCTTATATATGCTATTGAGATTAATACTTGGATAAAAGTTACCTGAGGTCTGTTCAGAGGTGTAAGTGTGAGGACTTGCAGTAGAGATCCTAGCTGATGTTAAAAAATAAAACAAAACCAACATACGTTATCATTCACTTTAGTGTGCATTTAGGTAGTGAAAGATAAAGTGTTTCTATAATAAAAATTTGCTAGCACCAGCTACACAAGTACATCTATCAGCCACTTATTCCATATTTGTAAAAAGAATGATAAGAGAAAAACTAAAAATCAAAGGAAGAGTTGATTAAAAAATTGTCTATGCTAATTTTGTGCCCCTGTGCTTTACTCCAGAATCAAGCATGGAAAAGGAAGCATCGCTTTCTATGAAAAGGGTGCAAGTATAACACTTGGGATGAATTAAGTACCCTATGCTGCCCTTTCTCTTAAATTCTTCAAACAGAGCTCCTAAGAAAGCTCAGTAGTGCTGTGCACCATGAAACAAAGCACCATGTCCTTTTTTTTTTAATTGCAGTAACAGTGCCAGGATTACCACAAAACCAAAGACATCTTAATTTAAACAGAAGATCTGCAAAGTCCTAAAGATCAGTCCTACGGATTATTATAGAAATCATTTCCACCACAAGCTTTGAAATCCAGACTCAACAGCAGATGTACCACAATAGTACTCACACAAGCACACACCTTTGCACGTACCTTTCTTAATTACAACCCAGTGATTACTTGTCTGATCATTGAACCACCCTGGGATCTCCACGCGGCAGCAGTACCTCCCACTGTCTGCTTCCTCAGCATTCACGATGGTGAGGGACACGTCGCCCTTCAGCAGGTTCCCTTTCAACATATACCTGCTGCCGTACCGCTCTGTCACCTTCCAGCCATCTGTCCAGATAATGGGCCAGTTACATTTTGAAGCAGGGCAGGAGTCACGACCCCAGCACATCGATGTGATGTCTTGCGTCCCCCTAACAGTGTAAGAGCAGGGCACAGTGACATTCTGACCAACGTCTCCATTCACAGGTAATTCTGATACTGTGGGGCCTGTGGACAAAAAGACAAACGCAGTTGTTGAGCTCAGTGCAAGCAAGCAGAGGCTTCTCATGCATCTTACGTGACCCAGTAACTCCCATCTCGCAAACACCACCAGGCGTTGCTGGATCAGGTTTTCCATGAATGGATGTGAATCCAGCAGGATCAACACGGTGAGGAATAATGATCAGGCAGTGATTTTTTCAGAATATTGTCTCTAGCCAGAGAAAGAAGAAAAGCACTTTCTGCAGGCAGGCAGAGAGGTGAAGAGAGAACAGAGTTTGGATCTGCACAGCCCTGTCACTTCTCTTTAGCCATGTCTGGTCTGTTAGCTCTTTATTTTAATCCTTAGTTCAGATTGAATCCAAGTCACGCATGGGGGAACAGTAAGACACAGACTTTCATTAAACCCATTGCATGAAACTCTTCCCCCTTTTCAATGAAAAGCCACTAAACAGCAGGTTTCATCAGAATGATTGCTACTGAACACATTTCCTTTTTTCTTGCCTGATGACAGATTTTGCCCATTCCTATTAGATTTTTCAGAGCTTTTCTAAGACACTTTATATGATCTTTTTTCACTACCTTATTTTCTTTCCTCATTCTTATGCCGTTTCTCACTTGTTTTGTTTCATTAAGTCATTTTTCACGCTTCCAGAAGGTTGTGTCACGCTACTGAAGTCAAAACAGTAAGACCTAGCAGCCAGGAGCCCACTCATCACAGTGAGACAGTTGCTTTTGCTGTATTTAGATCACTCCAGTCAATACTCCCTTTAGGAGCGTTTTAATAAAAAGCTGTGTTAAGTGCCAGCCAAAATCGTTTGTGCTCTGGTGATCCAGTCATAGCCATCTGGTAACCACCACCTTCTAACAGGTTACGCTATGGGGCTTCTGAGGTACCTGCTCTTTCTTCTTGTACTTCAAAATAAAAAAAAGTATTTGCCACATATTTTTGCTACTACACATTTTTTACCAAATTCAGTAACATGACATCATATGCGTAAATATTTTGATCTAGCCGTATTAACATTCAAGAGGGAGAATTCACTGCAGGAAGTACAGGCAACAAATAATCTCTATTAAAAGTCTAGCCCAGTCTATAATTAGGAAGGGAGCTCCCCGAGGCAGGTCAGCCAACACGGGCCAGTGGATGTCAAGCACTGCACGGCTTCATTGCAACTGTTCCTTGTGGAAAAGCTGTTTTGCCCAGTTCAGCTCAGTCATTTTCCTAAGCTATTACAGTTAAAAACACATCTGCATGCAGAGATTTTGCCACAGTAGCATATTAGAAACTAATCTCTGAAAATAATGTATTCTATTTAATATAAAAAAGCAAGCTCAAAATTAATCTCATCATAAAAGGCTTTATAAAGAGCTATAAGAAACAATAGCTGTAATATCCCTTTTCTTTCTGATGAATATATCCTACCAACAAATTTTTAATGTCTATCTGCCTATACTAGTACCGCTCTCCAATCTATTGTTTTCAGTGCTATTGCCTTTAGCAATGTTTTCCTAGGAGGATTGCTTTCTCAGAATAAAAAAGGAAAAATTATCGATTTTCCCAATAAAATTTCATATTGGCAAAAGAACACCAGAAGCCAGAGCTGACTTTTCGCTTATCTTCATAAAAGCATTCACCTTCACAAAGCCTGTTGAAGTGAGATGTCCTTGTCCTACATCTTTTCTAAAATGATTTCAAGTCCTCCACTCCTCTCAGATAATCATTATCTAAAAAAACCCAAAAGATCATTCACTAATTAAACAAGCAGACAGCCCAAGAGGCAGTGCCTTTAAAACCATGATTTTGTTTTTAAAAGGAGATAAAGCCAGAAGATGACTCTTGAGTCACTGTGATAAAGTTCTATCCATAACGCAAAACTGCAGTTTCTGTGCCATATGGCCCCTCTTCCTGTCGTAACATAAAATCTCTCTTTGCAGCCCCCAGAAACATTGATGCACGTTACCCCCATCCACCTCCACCTATTTGTTTAGGCCCACTTAGTTACCTGCAAACAGGATCAGAAAAACCCAGTTCATACAGAAATAAGACGACATTGTGGCCGAAGATGAGGAACACCCCTGTTCACCCTTCGGGCACCTACATTCAAGAAAACTTATCTTCACAAGCTTCTTGTTTTACTTCTGAGTGCGTCACCTTCAGACACAGCTGAGAACGCCCTTTAGTCTAATGCGGATTGCTTTTCCTGTGGTTAGTCTGCTCGTTTCAAGCGGCACAGACAAGCATAGGGCACGCAGCTGAACTCCTGCTGACTGTGGTCTCACTAAAAGGCTAAAATACTTCAGAAATCTACTTCTGCTTTTTCCCAGATCTGCTTGATTACAGAAGATGAAGCTGTTGTCAGCACCACTGAGCTGACAGAACTCTCAGTAATCCATTGCCCCATACTGCATCCTGCACCTTCAGGCAAACGTTATTTCCTTTCCAGGCTACAGTTTGGTAGTGTTAAAAAGTTGTCCTACAGTTACACAGTTGTAGCCTAATAGAGTTGCAGTCTTTCTTCATCCAATTCTTCAAACCTCTATATGCATCTGGGCCTTTGCACTATAAAGTAAAACACACAGAGATCGCTTTAAAAGTAGCGTGGAAACCACATCGTCCCAGGCTCAAGGCTCCCTTTGACAAAATGTTGCCAAAACACAGTTTTTAAGAAATGGTGTTCCCTGGCCACTCTCCCTGTCCCTGGGTTCCCTAGCTCTTCTTGAGGACAGCTTGTCTCTTTACATCGTTTGGACTAGAACTGCAGCTGTGACCAAGGGCACTCGATCCAGGGCCAACAAACCTTCTTTGCTGAAGCAACTGATCTACCTCACGCTGTTTAATACAGACAAAATTAGGTTCTAAGGAGCTACTTTTTATCAATAACTGACACAGCAGAAATGCTTCCGAAAAGGAACGTCAGGCTTGAATCAGAACCAACAGAGCTCTCACACTGACTACCTTACATGAGAGCAGAGTCACCAAAGTGACAGTTTCTTTAAGTGAAAAGGAGGAAAAACACGGGATTGAAGGAGGCGAGAGACTGACAAACACCAGCCACATACTTGTAGGAGAGAACTGAGAAAAAGAGGGATTAAAGGGGGATTTTCGCATGCAGTGGCTGGAAGCAGGACCCTTAAGAAAATGCTCCTCCTTCACTCCTCTTGTTCCTGGGGAAACAGGAAACTGCAGACAGCTGCTACAGGAACAATTCTGACCGTTAATGGCAGGATCCTGAAACTGTTCTGCACAAACGAGAAGGCAGGGCAACCTGGCTCTGGCAGACGGCTGGTGACCACATTAGCCACCACCATGCCATGGCAGTGCATGGCACCAGCTGATGAACTCCTCTTGCTGGCTCAGTGTGCAGCAAACATTCACCCGCAGACTGGGACACGTCCCTTCTGCCAGGTAATGTAATAACACGCAGTGTGCGTGGGTCCACGTGGGTTCCTTCTCTGCATGGGCCACGTCTGAGCTCTGAAACAAATACACAGGATAAGAAAATAAGGAAACTGTTATCCCAGAGCTCTGCTGGAGCCCATTCTGCTCACTTCACCCAGGTTGTTTTGTTCATACAATAAGTCTACAGTAGTTCAGGTGCTGTCTGCACCCCAGGAAAGCCATTCTGGCCACATAGTAACAGAACGTGAGAGATACAGGGCATCAGTTAACCTACTTGCACTGGATCTCATTTCATAAACACAGACCATATCGAATGCCTTGATATCATTTCCGAGTTTCTACATGCCAGTTTTCCAAGTTCCTATTTTTCATTTGTGCAAGAAATGAGCACCACTTCTGCAGAAAAGGTGCCAATGTCACCTTTTCCATGCAGCCCTTAATGTAGCTGCACATTTTATGACTCAGAGTATATACCCAGATCACACTTTGTGAAAATAAAACCAAACCGAAACATTAAACATTGAGATAAGTTTAAAGCATTGTTGGAAGCATCTCTTCACTGCACTATTTTAAAGCTGTATCATTAAATAGTGGGTTTTTTCCTCTTCCCCCTAGATGATCAGAGCTACCACCTTTCCCTTTTCCCCACTGGTGAAACTTGGCTTCTCTGTATCAAGAAACTCGGAACTTTTTAACTAACCGTACTTCTGTTAATCCTGATGCTTGTTCAGATAGTATAACAGAATGGTTGGGGTTCTTTTCTTTCCCTTTTTTAAAAAAGAAAAAACCATCCAACAAAACACTGCTTAACACCTGATATTAATGTTATCTCATCAAGTTTCATAAAGCAAATATAATCCAACACATATTGTACACATTATTTCAGGGGTAGAATACTTCAGATGATATCACATCCAAAAATAAAATCGGGATTTGCCGAGGTAAGATCTCATCATGAGGCAGGTTAATTAACACACTAGAGCAGACAACATTTGTAATCTCATGTGCTAGTCAGTAAGTCACATCACCCTACAGAACGTGTAGTGTCCGTTTACCCACATCAACAGGCGTATGCCACCCTCTTCACTGCAGCTACAGTCCGCTGTTTCCCCAAAGTGAAGCTGTAAAAGCAAAGAGGAAAACTATAATTGCTTTGACCTCACAATAGAGAAAAAAAGTCAATGTTTTGGCTGAAAAAAAAGCCATGGAAGCCACCCACGGCTTTCCAAGGGCTTACCTTAAAAATAGAAAAAAACTAATATAGAATGAACAAGTCATTTGTGAAACTTTTTGGAAAGTGAAAGCAATCTTAAGTATTCTTTAAATGGCATAATCCTCGTTTACCTCAATGGTTTCAGTAAAAGAGTTCATGGAAATTGCTAGTTGCTGTTCGGACCCAGCTTGTACAGTATTTTGAAGCTATGGCACCCAAGTCTGTGACTTTATTAAAAGCATAAAAATTAGACAAAAATCAATAGAAAGCCATTGAGCAGCTACAAGCGTTCTTTTGGAATGGCAAAGTTAAAACGTCTGTGACAAACTGTAGTTCCAGTGCAAGACTTCCCTTATCCAGGAGGCACTAAATGTTTCTTCATATCTTCCACATGAAACAACGTTTGCAAAGTAGGTATCAGTTTAATTCTGCTCACTTTTAACTGTGTTAGTTACTTGCAAGCAACGTCATCTAAGTCTAGTCAAGGGAGAAGGAAGGAAAGAGGGGTAATAAAGGAGAAAAGAGTGAACTTTGTAAAATTATTTATATATTTCTAAAATAAAATGTTCCTACTTCTTGTTACTTATGATGCCACATGCACTTAAAATAGCAGATGATGTCCTCCAATGAGTCACGAACTCGCTTCAGTTCATCTTTATCTGCACTGAGCTCAGTCTCCACCACCCAGCAGCCAAGAACTTCTGCCTGCCTATTTGAGTAACATTTCTGAAAACAGTGGAATTATCGAATGAAACAGAGACATAGCTTATTAAATCACAGTTAAAACCAGAGTTTGTGCGAGTTCCATCACCCATAAAGTTTACCTGGCTTTAGCTGCTGCACACACTTTGGAAAACATACACACTACAGTGTTACATGGCAAAAAGATGGAA